CATCTTTGTAATATCTCATACTTAAGTTAATTATAAATAGAATGAGGGGCTGGCGGCTAGGGTTAAGTCAATCTATCCTAGTCGACCTTCTTCTCTTTTCTTCCCTTTCCTTTGTCTCTTGCTGAAATCCCCCTTTCTACTCTTCCTTTCACAAGAAGCTTGGCCGAAATCAGCACATAAGGTTTTCTACTATTATGATTTGTGTTATTCAAAAGTACAAGCAGGGAACAGAAGTACAGGTAGTTGAGAAAAGATTAAGGTATAGAACTCCAGTTCAACAATGAGTTGGTTTATTCATTTCTTTAGGTTGATAATAAAAGCATGTCCATGTTTTTGAGAAGAATGTACTTAGTTCTGTGTTTATGAAAATCAATTTTGAAAAACTAATAATGCCAAAAAGTCCAAGTTTTTCAATATATTCCAAATGGTCCAAGGTTAGCTCATTATTTCATGTATGTCTTGACGACAAAGGATTATCGAATGAAGAAATGAATCAACCTTGTTCTGACATGAAAGGTAGCTCTCTCCCCAGCCACCTGAATCCAGCTGTTTGGACAACAGAAAATCACAAGCTTTCCGAATGCTAGAGCTGTCCTTGAAGGTTTTCCCAGCAGTTATCAAACCCTTTATTCCAAACCATGTAGCATAGGTGAAACAGATGCCCCAAGAGCCATACCTAATAAAAGATTTTCCATAGAACTCTTTACTCCAATTATGAAAGATTAATTTCTTAAAAACTAAAAGAAAAGTACAAGCTTTGGTCTCCTTGAAGATATTAAAATATTAATTACCATAAGCATAAAAATGGGTACAAAACTAGGAGAACATCCAATTATATAATAGAAACATATAGTTGGAGGAAAAAAAGAAATACAGACCATGAACCATCTGCTGCTTGTATCTTTTCAATGAACTTGGCAGCTTTTCTAATACAATTTTCTATCTCTTCTCTCCGATGCCCTGGATACAATTTCTTAAATGATGCCAATGCTTGAATTGCTGCAGAGGTACACTCGACATAACTGTAATACCATTCAAGATAGCATACCATTTAGAAATTTTGATCAATAAGTTAATAGTCACAAAAATAAAATTTTAAATGTAAGTAGTGATCTCTTACGGATAATCAATAACAATGTCGCCAAAAGTTTCAGCAGGGTTGACTAACTGAAAATATAAAGGAAACAAAAAACAAAAATAGTATTACATTTTGAATAACCTAAATAAGATATGCTGCAGAAACTAACAACAAGAAATATCACAACTAGAGATGTACCGGAAAAATATTCTTAAGGAATACGTAGGGTAAAGGATAATTATTAATGACTAAGAAGTGCGACATCCTTAAACAAAATTAAAGAAAGGAAAAATAAGAATCTGCACAGCAATTATTTTTTTTATTGGCTATTTATATATGTATGTATGTAATGTACATATGCATATATATATATATATATATATATGGCAGCCCAGTGCATGAGGCTCCTGCCATGCGGGGTGTGGGGAGGGACAGATGTACGCAGCCTTACCCCTTGCATATACAGAGGCTGTTTCCAAGATTTGAACCCTGGTCATCCAGGTTACAATGGAGCAACCCAACCATTGCATCAAGGCCCATCCTCATATAACCATAAAAACAGAAAGCATAAGACAATAAGGTATTGAGCATTAAGACGGCTACCTCCAACCATGAGTAGGATCTAGTAAGTTCATAAGTTGCAAATCCACCATCTTTGTTCTGCACAAGTACAAAGAAAAGAAGAAAAAAGAAGTAAAGCAAAAGGATACTTTGTTGTAAACAAAGAACTGGGAGATCAATGGAGCAGAATGAGCAAGTGGATGAAGAATTGCAACTACAAAATGAGACATGAATGATAAAGTAACAAATTGCTTCTAGACTAAGCATAAGACTACTATTTGATGATTTTTCTTTTTTTTTTTTGTTTTGTTTAGATTAAAGGTTACAACCATAGTTGTCAAGGCGATGCCTAGGCAACAAGGCGCCCTTGGAGGCTCGCCTCGCCCAGTCGCCTAGCAGTTCTGTATACTGTCTTATAAAATATTTTTATATTGTCACTTTTTTGAGATTATAACTATAAAATAGACATTATTAAACAAAAATATTCATTTTTTGTGTTTATAAACTAATTTCTTTTTATTATATTCTTATTTGTTAGGGTTTAATCAACACAAACATTGCTAACTGCTGTATTGAACCCTCAAAGACTTCAAAATTTGAACCAATACGTAAGGGAAAAACTTAAAGTTTTGTCT